ACACGATTTTTATCCTGGGGCCTCACAGTAACGAGGCCATTGCTTAGCCCCTGAATCATGACTGTACGCAGTGTTTGCTAGGGTACGCGGCCCCTTCCACAAATTTATTTATTTTATTTATTTATTGTGGTATAAAAAACATTGTACATGGCAGCCTTTCGGCTGAATTGAGTGCAATTTACATAAGTAATAACACAAGGATACTGCACAAAATACAATAGTATTACAAAGTCATTAAAAATACTACATTCATAACAAACAATTATAGGTACATCTTAGATCAAAGAATATTGATGGTGGGATAACGGAAGTGGGTAATGGATGTGGAAAAATAAGTGTTTTATGATAGGACTTTAAATGCAAATTCATAGGAAGAATATAACAGTTGAATAAATTATGACCAGTGGTAAGAAAAATTATCTGTTTTGCATGCTTCAAAGTAGGCCTATTGTCATGTGGGTGCAATGTACATGTATATGGAGAACAAAATGGACGTATGGTTGGTAATGCAATATTGAAATTAATATAATCCGTATAAACAAAACAGTAAACCTTCAGTAAACAATATAAGTTTTCATTCAAGCACATCTATAAGATAACAATTTGATTTACGTTTATGCTCAGCATTTATGAACAAACGATATGTCTTTACATTATTCCTGTTTTGAATTGAGTAACCTCACAATGAAGGGGAGTGCGCTCTTTCTGTAGCGCTCATTTTTGCATTTGATTTCGGAATAGTCATTAGCGTTGCGCAGGTTGCGGGAAGTGCGGGAAGCCCGCGTAGGGGGGAGCCAGTGATAGAAGGGGGACGTTTCCTTTGTGAGACTACTCGCAAATTTCTTTGTTAACCTTTCCCTCCTCTCCTCCAGTGTGGGAAGGTCAAGAACATTGAGGGCATCATCATAACTCGTGTATCTTTGGCCAAGCATGAGGCGACACGCTCGTTTCTGAATTCTCTCTATCAGTTTCTTGTCTGCCCTAGTCAAACCTGAATGCCAAACAGGTGCGCAGTATTCGACTTTCGGGCGCACGTACGAACAATACACAACTTTCAGATCCTCAACAGGTAGCCGAAAACCTTTCAAGATACGCATCATGTGTAGCCTCATGCTTGCCGCCTTGACCATTTCTGTGACATGATATGACCATTTTAAGTCCTCCTGTACAAACACACCCAAAAGCTTAACTAGTTGTACTTCACTTATTTCCAGGTCACCAATTTTTAGTTTTGGGACGGTTGCCTGGTTTCTCATGAACTGAATGTTCATGACGACACATTTGCTAGGGTTCAGTTTCATGCTATTGTCTTTGGTCCATTTCTCAAGATCATTTACCACTTCTTGGATTTTGGGTTGATCCGTTGCCTTCCTACATTCAAGCAGGGAGAGGTCGTCGACGTATTTCCAACACTGAACATCACTGTCCTTGAACACGTCGTTGATAATGCAGAGAAAGATAAGCGGCCCAAGTCGAGTGCCCTGTGGGGCACCTGCCGAGATCTCCATCCAGTCAGAGAGCTGTGACATGTAGCGCACACATTGTTCTCGATTGGAAAGGAAGCTGGAAATCCATGCCACCAAAGACGGGGATGCCCCCATTTCGAGTAGTTTCCCAACCGCTAGTCCATGATCTATCCTGTCGAAAGCTTTGCTGAAATCTGTAGCCACCAGTGTTGTGACCGTTTTGGGATTTTCGGCATTCCGATGGATGGTATTTAGTATATCTATCAGATAGTGTGCAGTCGAGTAGCCCTTCCTATTGCCGTACTGTGACTTGTCAATCGCAGGTCCAATGTCACCCACCAGCCACTTTGAGATGAATTTCTCCAGGATCTTTGCGAAATGATCTGTGAGCGATATCGGTCTCAAGTCTCCTATGGTGGGTTTGGAGGTTTTGGGGATAGGTACCACAATTGCACGTTTCCAGCGGTGTGGCACCACCGATTCTCTGATAGATTCATTGAAAATGGCCGTAAGAGGGCTACTCAGTTCTAACGCAAATTCGGAGATGATCCGAGCTGGGATGCTATCTGGACCGGGAGCTTTCCGTCTGTTAAGATGTTGCAATTCCCAGTAGACACCCCAAGGTTTAATAACAGGCAGTGGTAGAGCAGGGAGATAGGTTGGGAGATCAGTCAAATCGAGTCTACCGATGTCTTCAGATATGCTGACGAAGAACCTGTTGATCGTGTTAGCAATACCAGCGAGGTCTGACTCGTCGATCCCTTCGACCTCAATGGCAGGTGGTTTGGGCTTATTTCCTGCCATTGATTTGATGTTCTTGTGCCACTGAGATGGATTGCTCTCCTTCATCTTACGCACGCGTCCGACATAGAACTCAGATTTTGCCCCTTTGATTAGTTTATTCACTTTGTTCCTCAGTCCTTTCCATTTGTCCGAACCTGCTATGAAAGCCTGCTGACGTGCACCAATAAGGGCTTTGATCTTAGGGGAAATCCATGGTTTGTCATTGTCGTGGCATTTGACAACAACTAAGGGGAAATACTCATCAATCAATGGCAGAAGTGTGGAATAGAACGTATCGCACTTGTCGTTCGTGTTCTCGGCTTGATAAACTGGAGACCAATCATAGTTCTGGAGAATCTGTCCAAATTCGCGAATAGCACTGTCTTTGATTGGTCTTGCAATCCGAGTTCTTGTGCGATTGGGCTTCGGTGAGTATTGGGTAGGGATCCAGGAAACCGCAAGGTGGTCGCTGGAGCCCAATGGGGGTAGAGTTGTTGGGGAATTATAGTAGCCTGACATATTGGTGACTATCTTGTCCAGAATCTGGTCACCTCTTGTTGGTATACTGACAACTTGTCGGAACCCCCTATTTGCGGTTAGCGTCGAGATGTCTAACTCATTGTAGTCCCCCAACAAGATGAACCCCCAAAACGAAAAAAATGCAATAATTTTTCAAAAATTCATTGCATTTTCCCCCGGCCCCCAACAGGAAAAATTCTTCTGCGGGGTCATGCATTATGGTTCAAGGCATGGCCACACAGAAGAATTTTTCCTGTTGGGGGCCGGGGGAAAATGCAATGAATTTTTGAAAATTTATTGCATTTTCTTCGTTTTGGGGGATTTGTGGAAGGGGCCGCGTACCCTAGCAAACACTGCGTACAGTCATGATTCAGGGGCTAAGCAATGACCTCGTAATACTGTGAGGCCCCAGAATAAAAATCGTGTCGATCAGCTATATTAGTGCCCTTTTGTGAGGCATTAATCCTCATTACTGTCAATTATGATTTAAGGACGTAGGTTCCCTAGCTGATTAGCATAGTAGCACACATATGATTTAGCAGTCACGCAAAACAAACACTCGCAAATTAATATTCAATAGAATCTGAGAATGTATGCCATTATCTAGATCTATTAGAACTAAATAATTTTTAAAAATCCTTCCCTAAACTGGGGTAAAAATAATTATTCCACCATTATGACCAACAGTGTACTTTAAAGATAAAGTTGAGTTCTGGTCATGCGATTGCATTGTGAAAGAAACGTGGAATCAACAAGAAAAGGTTGTTTTTCTAGGATATAAGTATTGGTGTGTACTGCAAGGTTCTGGAATCATAAAAAAATTGGCCCAGTCTTGGTAAAGTTACAAGCACTGTACACGGAAAGATGTATATGGGACTACACGGGCATGTGGCATACAAATCTGTCCCGATTGTTATGATGTTACATGCCATATGTAGAATATTAAGGCATTTGAAGCTAGGGCCATGCTTTTCAGGGAACATTTCTTTCGGATGTTCTTCCACACTGGCATATTACAATGATAACGCTCAAAAATTAATTGTTCACCTCTTCCCAGAACTCAACCTTCTCTTTAAACACTGTTGTGAATATGATCTGCGAAAAAGCAACATGTTCATTTTTGAAATGCTTATGTGAAAACTTGTAGTACCACAAATAAATTTCAGATGGCCTGATATTTTATTCATCATCAAGGATTTTAATTATCATTAGTATAGACACTGAGACACTGGCCTACTGATATTATAAAGGGGGGGGGGCAGTTGAGTGATATATAAATGTGGCTGAAATGACATGATTTTCCGGGATTTTTCCCAACTTTTTTTGGTATGTTATACTTTTTCATGCGTTTGTTGGGAAAAGACAAATTTCAAAATTTCATATGCACTCTTCCATAAGATGTATAATAATTTACTGTTCATAGATGATTTATAAATAAATAGCAATTTTCTAGGTGTAAACTTTTTTTTGACTCACACGGTATGAAGATCATCACTTGATTATCTTTAACTTTAATTTGTACTACAGACTCAAAAGTGTTAGTCACTTCTAATATAGTAACTATATACATTAGAAAGGTCAACTTCTTGTTATCCAAATATTTCCAATTTCACAAATTTCTGTATTTTCTTTAAATCTGTTATACAGCATCTGGATGTCACCATGCCTGTATCTCTCGGTGAGTGGCGTGTCAGGATCGGCACGTTTATACATCGGCGGAAGAAAGAATATGACTACAATTACTTCTGGAATAAACTTGTCAACTTGATCAAAACAGCCAAGAATGTTCAGTCACCCGAAGAAAACAACTCAGAATGTAACGCTTCACCTCGCACTTCTCAGACTCGGTCACAATGTGACGGTCCTGAGTGTGATGCTGTGAAGGAGAGTGGATCCTCAATTGATGTAAAAAGCCCCGGACCTAACGAGGTCTCTAACTCTGAGTCTTCGTGTGCTGAAAACAGTGGTTCTCCAACGGCAAACGAGATCAACCCTGTCCCTGATACCACTGAAGTGCAAATTCTAGTTCCCCGACCCTGCGTAGAAGATGAATTGGACAATAGACACATAACCATCAATCTAGTGTCACATGAATACCTCCCTAATTCTACTCAAATAACAGATCAACCTGAAGTTGCAACATCAGAGTCATACTCACATGTACCTGTATCCATCGCATTTGAGACAGATCGTATCCAAATATACAAGGAAAAGACATCCACCTCTGCACCGTCGGGGATAGAGGACCAATCATCGGGCTTGTCACATAAAACAAGGCAAGATACAACGAGAAACACCGAGCAAACAACACCATCTATCAGGGTATGATTGGTATTAATTATGTATTTCCCCAGGACCACTTCATCCCCCTTTTTTGTTTTTGTTTAAGAAGAAAAAAATGAGACAGACGAAGAAACGAAAAAAACAAACACCAAATCTGTAAATGACAATTCTTCGTGTAAATTTCTTTTAAACGGGACATGTAACTAGCAAAACTGGAGCTATATAAGATTTGTCTAGAGAGGACAGTTTGATTATTTCAATTGCTGTAGACATTTTTGATTTGACGTTCGTTTCACTATGATGATATAATCATTGGTAAAAGTGTCCTTTACCCTTATACAGAATTCTTTTTCTCCCGCGATTTTACCTTAAACAAAAAGAAGGCTACTTATTCTTTTGAAAATTGTATTCTTTCCATCAATTTCATTAAGGAATTAACGTAATATCATGAATCATCTTGTACAGTGACTGCATGAACACCCTTATATCACCACTTTGTGATATGTGTTGTTTTATAAAGGTTAAACTAAAAATGATTGATAAAAATCCCCCGCCAGCAATACAATGTGGCGCAAGGATATCATGTCAGTATGGCTTGTTCATAGTTTAAAGAGTTAAAAGTGTATCCTATATTCGCTTTTTTCTCTTTTTCCTTAGGAAGTCACAGAGAATCACGGATCACCGACCCATTCGGCCCCCCTACCAGGAACAACCACTGGTGAAGCAGATGCAATCAAAGGAAATGACTGTTCAGGCATGACCAACATACTCCTATTGAGATCCGGTGACGTAGAACGAAACCCTGGTCCAAATGATAAGTAAGCAGCATGAACGAGCATCTTTGGAACATTAAAATCCATTGTTTCATATTAAACTGAGCCCTAATCCGAATCTACGATTACGTTTAATGAAGGACAACTTAATTAGACTAATTGTCTTTGTTAAACCCGATTCTAAACAAACCCATGAATCCCCCGTCGGGTTTCAATTCGTGACTAGTAGAATACGGGTCAATAAGTTTGCTGGTAAAAATAGTCTTTGGATTTTATGAATGAAATCAAAAGGGAAGAAGTTTTGCATATTCTTGTTATGTTTGACAGGTACATGTCGTAGTATTTTGCGGTGTTTGTCTAGTACTTGCATTACAGGTGACGATATAAATTATTATAATTCAATGCAATACAACACTGTATTTGCAAGTCAAAGGAGCAAAATGAAAGTTTAATACACAATTTCGCAAATATTTATAAGCGCTATATAAAAATAATCATTCTTCTTATGTCTATACTTTAGCCCTGGAAGTCTGACCGAGCTCGAGCTCTATCTCCTTGCCGACGGTATGGATTCATCAGATTTCAGGAAGGTCGGACTAGCTTTAGGATTCTCTGAGGCTCAACTAAGTCGATTTGAGAAAGACAAGCTTGGCGACTCCATGCATGCTACCTATCAGATGCTTTACGAATGGCGGAAGACAGTACGTGATAGCGAGGCGAGGGAGACATTGGTCGACACTTTAGAAAGCATTAAGTTGGTACAGCTTGCTGATAGTGTACAAAAAGGTAATAATAATAATGGTGGTTTCATGTATAGCTATAGAAATGTATGTACATTTCCCTCACTCCTCCAAGGTGAGATATATGGGTACCTGGCAGGAATAAACTCCTTAAAATGCTAATGCACTGTAAAGGCAGCCATGTTTATAAAGACGGAGTAATAAATATCGAGCTTGTCCAGTTAGACATGAGCGCTATACAAGAACCCATCTCAACTATTAGTATTTTTGCTATTACTATTATTAAGCATTGTGTGCTAAATTTATAAGTAAAATTGCGTTTTCCATTAGAAAATTGCAGCAAAGTGAGGAGTTTTGGAATATTGGATTTATTTAACATTTACTCTAAGGCTGTCCTCACTTTTGTTGGATACTGCATACAATGTATATAATATACATATATATATATAGAGAGAGAGAGAGAGAGAGAGAAAATGTATCACGTTAGTAGGCCACTAGAGTTTGGATCAGATTAAATATGTAAGAAATTGCACATTTTTACTCTCAACTCCAGAATACGCGCTAACTTATGGACCAAATTCCTTCGAATTCATATCCATATGGATAAACAGTTAAAAACGAGAAATCTCCGTCTAGAAAGCACGTTATTATAAAAGACGCATTTGTTTCGTGGATTATACGCATATCAATCCAGGAGCGTAGCTTTCAAAAGTAGAAATTGTTTTTTATCTTCTTAAGTTTTGAAATGCACAAGATCATGCACATTTTAATATGACACTTACCGCCATATTTGCTCAATAGAAGATGGTCTAAAACCCGACCAATCAACCAGAAAGGCCTGACATCCTTAGCATCGACCCGAGTAACCCTTCCCTGGGGCAGTGACATCAGGGCACAATGTCAATCCATTACTCACTGTGAGAGCCCCTTTCTAGGAAATAAATAATTTCTCAGCCATTGATCATGATCCACAAGCAAATTTGAATTGACATTTGGGATGTAACATGATATTACAATTCTGTGATTCATGGTTAATGTCCTTTTTTTTTTTTGCTGCCGTTTTTTATACTTGTTTATGTTTAAACAATAGTAGCATTCTTTTTCAAGTAATTTTAGAGACAACGTTCTTCACCATCTCATCACAGGTCAGGTTGGTGATGACATACCCTCAATGACAGAGGCGGAAATCAAGCGGGTTGCTGAAGATGTCAAACGCTATTTGGCAATTGACCTCTGTCAGATTCAAGCCGATCCACTGAACAGCGAACTCCTACTTAAATTTGAACGGATCTTCACCAATCTAACGTTGATGGAAGAAGACAAAGGTACCAAGCACAAGACACCGCTTCTATACGGCGACCTCCTCAGGACCGAAGTCAGCGGAATCTATCCTAAACGCTTGTTGGTGGAAGGTGAAGGTGGTGTGGGGAAAACCACTCTTTGCGCCAAGATCGCTTGGGATTGGATCCACGGAAAAGGATACCAAGATTTCAAACTTGTTCTTGTCGTCCTACTTCGCGAGGCAAAGGACAAGACTGTTGGAGAGATAGTCAAGTCTTATCTCCCAAAAGATAATCCTGTCACAGCCAAGAAGCTAAACAAGTACGTCCTCTCAAATCCAAAGGACGTCTTCCTTGTCCTGGACGGCCTGGATGAGTTTGCTGTCGATCTTAACAGCATTCAGCAAATCGCTCTGATCACTCTCAATCGGCTGTTCGAGTCAGGGACAGTACTAATCACATCACGGCAGTGGAGATCAGATGAGATTAGGAAAAATGCCAAACTCAGAAAGGTATTTGCTTTCATTGCTGTAGAAGGTTTTTCTGCTGAAAACCTCTCTTCCTACATCACCAAGTTCTTTCATCCAGACACAGCTTCCTCTGAAGATCTGAACCGATTCATATCAAACAACGATGTGATCAGAGAGAACATGGCCCCCTACCCCATATACACAGCCATGCTGTGCATCATGTGGAAAGAGTTTGATGGAGAGCGCCGAGAGGCAATGTCCAAGCTGCAAACATTTTCCCAGCTCTTCAATGAGATGATTGACTTTTTGGTTGATCATTACCTATCGAAGCAGATGCCATCATGTATTGTTGAAGGCAAATTGAGGGAGCATCGTTCAGAGATTCATCATCACCTACTTCAGATAGGCCACATTGCCTTCAAGGGACTTCTTGAGAGACGGCTAGTATTCACAGAAGAAGAGTTTCAGAGTTATCCAGAGTCCATCGATGTAGGTTGTAAAGTTGGTGTACTCACAAGAGAAAGGAAAGTTCTTCCGAGGAGAGACAGAAGAAATAATCTGATTTCAGCAGTTCAATCGGTACAGTTCGCTCATAAGCTCTTCCAGGAATATCTATCAGGAATGTATCTTGCATCTCTTTACAACTCAGACCGTAATGAGTATCACTGGTTGATAGCGAAAATCATAACGGACGCAAGAGAATACCGGTACCTACTGTACTTCACCTCGGCCCAGCAGAAGGAGGTCGGATTGAATATCGTATCTCGTCTCACAGCAAGACAAAGAGAGCGAAGACATGATGATAACTTCGTCGTAGATGTAGCATACGAGAGCCAAGACCAAACAGTGGCCAAAGCAGTGGCGGATCATCTCTCCTCTGAGTATAGCAACACACTAGAGATCACTGATGAGATGCAGGCACACACAGTATCAGGGCATATCTTCATCATGAATCATCGTCAAGTGGTAAGACTTAGGATGACGTCGTTTGGTTTGAACACTTGACCGCAGACATATATACCCTGTAAACAACAGATGCTTTGAATCCTGACATGCGCTAATAAGGCAATACATTCTATACAAATTTCTGCTCACCCACATGTTGGAAAGTAGCTCGATATAACAAATTGTATTTAATCATATTTAAAACAACTTCCATAGATCTCATCTAGCATGAGTTCAACTCTGATAATATTTTGAATCTGAGAACTGCAACAATGTACACGAAAAAAAATTAACTATCATTAAGTATTATGACTTTAATCTGTTAATAGGAGTTGTGATTTATTGCAGCACAATCCGTCTTTCATATACATGTATTTGTACTTGTTCAGTAATATAACACTTTTAATACCACGAATCCCAAAATGATTTGTACGTGTATACTGTTCCATCCCGCAGTACGGTGAAGGCACGATTAATGACAAAAACATCTTTGTTTGATCAAAATTGGTTCGGAGGCTGCTGAAATATCCAACAATTCAACGATTCCTAATGTTTGTGGTGCTTCACAAATATTCGATAATTTGAACCATTCGTTAAAAAACGAGATATATAGCGCCTTATACGTTTTATTTCAGCCAATGCCGATGTTGGCTTTTTGTTAGCCTTTTCGTGTTGGTCATAATAGGCACAACCAGCCGGCCTATGAATTGTTATTATTAATTAATAAATTAATTAACGGTCATCATATTTTTGTTGTAAATGGAGCTGAATTAGTATGATCCTATTGGCTAAATTTCACACATTTTGGGTTCTAAAATTACCTTCATAGTAATTTTAGGGCCTAAAATAGCACTAGAAATGTCATAAATAAGAATAAGAGCAATAACCATGCACTTTGAAAGCATTTGCGGTCTGCAACAAGAACTCGACTATCCTTTTTAGTTAATTATTTAGGATAATCCAGTATTATTTTCATGCGTTCATATATTTCTGGCCTTACAGTCTTATTTGTGTACATATACCTTGCAGGATAACCTGGTAATCGAGAAGTCATGTGGACGGACGGCTTCAGAAGACCTGGCTGAATACATGTGCTCATCACGATCACCGAGATATGTGACGATCGATAAATTCGCTAGTACTATTACTATGCATGATGTCTTCTTCTCGGTGCTTGCGAATAAAGCAGTCGATTCCAAGGTCAGTATAAATCTGTGTATTATCCACGTTGTCGTATTTTTGGTACATTATTCTTTTAAAATAATTAATGCCATATTCAGTCAGGATGTCATAAGATTGGAATGCATAGGAGAATAATGGGAAACAGACTTTTGTTTTTAGAAAAATACTTGTAAATTTCAAACGTCTTGATATTACTTTAAAAAAAATAAGAATAAATATTTCATTAAACTTTTCAAAAATGTTGATGTGGCATTTCAGGATTTAAGCCAGAGGGTTTCAACATAAATTATTTTCTTTATCATTAATGGCTTAAATCGCAATAGAAGACTAACATCTGTGAATGGAGAAGAAGGTATGAATGTAAGAAAACAAGATATCAATGTTTGGAATGTTTTTTCCTCTTTGGTCAGCAAATAAGGGAGGTTAAGCGGGATTACCGAATCTTATTCCAGGCAAAAAGATCCCTAGGCCTGCTCTCTGGCGATCCTGGATCACCATCCACTTGATGTTAGTCATGTCGCAGTCCTGATTGGATCAATTAAAATATACTCACCTGTGTCATTATACCTATCAATAATGAATAAACACAATTAAAATCAGTCTCAAAAAAAAATACAGGAACTATTGAAATAACTGATCATTTTAGGTGTCAAGACTTGTACACCATTACATAGTTGTAGGAGATGTTGAAATTTAATTTAATTGCGGCTAAGATTTAATATAATATTAAACAGATTGTTGAATATTAAATGGAGTTTTAATGGGATGTTGGTAATCATTCATTCAACATGATGTTACTATCATATCAGATAGAGACACTTGACATCCGGTTAGAGGATCTCAGTGAACGTCCCTCTGCATTACGTGATCTCGCTCAGTTCATCTGTAAAACGACTCATCTCAAGGGCCTAAAACTTGAAGGTCAGTATCACGATGACTTCTACTCAACATCATCGTCGATGGTATCATCAGCAAAGGTATTCATTTGATCATTTATTTTAGGACTCTAAGAAAATCACTACAAATTTGATATAGTTGAAGTGTACAAAAACAGACTAAAGATTATAAGATTTATTGTGAATAATATATTACCATATTTTTTATTTTTTGCTGTTGTAAAATAACCATTTCAGGTCTTCTTTATTTTTTCTTCATAATAATATAAACATAAATTATTCACATTTTTAGCATTTGCCTTCATTTCTGGAGGGATATACATGGTTTTCTAATATTTTCTCCTATTTGTAAACGATAACTTAATAGGTAAATAAAAATATGAAGAAGTCTCTTTTAGTTGTTTTCTTTAAAAAAAATTCCAACAAAACTTGTGTATATAGTAAAAAGTGCATAATTCAAAATAATATCAACATCTTTTTCCTTCTTTGAATTATAGTAGAAATGAGGCATCTTGTTCTCCAGAAAACTTGCGTTTTTTGTACTATATTTACAATTCATTATAACCTTTATACCACCCATTTGCTCAAACGAATAGTCTAACATACATTTGCAACCTGCATTTAATTCATCGCTTAGATATTTACAAAACCAATTTATATTTAACGATGCAACCTTTGTTTGAACATCTAACATATCTAAACCACCTTCTTGAATACCATTCAATACATTTGACCTTTTAACCTTTGCAGGTCTCCCTTTCCATAGGAAATAAAAAAATAACTTATCGAGCTCCTTGATTATCTCTTTAGGACAAGACAAAACTTATGATGTATAAATGATTTTCGACATTATCAATGATTTTAATATCATTATTTTCCCTTTAAGCGTGAGATTTCTCTGTTTCCAAAGATTTAACAGCTGTTTTATTTTTAATATCCTCTCTTCAGACCAGTTCATTTCTAAGCCTATATCATTATTTTTACAAAAATAAATACCAAGTGACTTAACATAAACATCTTCCCATAACATGTTTCCAATGGTATTTGTTGGATTGTTGGTTCCCAACCAGAGGGATTTTGTCTCGTTTTCATTTAATTGAATTCCAGAATAGTTTTCATTTTTTTTAATAATCTTTATAGCTGTATTACCTGACATAACTGTACGAACAAATAATGTCATGTCATCTGCTAATTGTACTATTTTAAATGTTTTCTCATTACAACCAACACTCAAGCCTATGACATTGTTATTTTGTCTAATCTCATTTGCAAGAGCTTCAATGCTAAGGATAAATACTAATGCAGATAGGGGACACCCCTGTCTTAAACCTCTAGGTGGTTTTATATCTTTTGTCAACCAACCGTTCACTAGGATATTAAGATGAGGATCACAATACATCACCGAGACCCACTTTCTGAAGTTATCATTGATACCATAGCTCTTCAAACATGTATCAACAAATTTCCATTCTATAGTATCAAAATCCTTTTTAAAATCGGCAAAAATGATTGCACCATCATTCTTATTAAATGCACTATGACTATAATCTATCATATCTTGAATTAATCTGGCATTATAATTACCACTCCTGCCTTTAAGATACCCTACTTGGTCTTCACTGATTAAGTGTGTTAAAACTTTTTGGAGCCTGTTTGCCAACACAGTTGCAAGTATTTCATAATGGGTATTAAGTAATGTAATAGGCCGCCAATTTCCTAATTCCATCGCATCACCGCCTTTGAATGGCAGAGTAATGACTCCTTTCCTTTGCAAATAGCTAAGCTTACCCTTTTTATAACTTTCATTAAAACTGTCTAAAACAAGATCTTGTATTTCAACCCAGAATTCCTTAAAAAAACTCCACCGTTAGGCCATTTATACCAGGAGCTTTATTAATATTTATCCCTTTTAGAGCATTTGTTGCATCTTGAATTGAAATGAATCCCTCACATTCTTCGGCTTCACTACCAGATAATTTAGGATTATTTATTTTCTTAAGATATGTTTTGATTACTGCCGGATCTGGGCTTCTTGTTGTGTATAAGCAAGAATAAAACTTTTCTACGAATTTTATAATTTTACAGCTTTCAGTTTCTAATTTTTCTGCCTATTGTAATTACAGATATATACTTTCTCGCACCATTTCTATGTTTTAAATTTAAAAAATATGAAAAATTGTTTTCACTGTTTTCAAAATGAATAACTCTAGATCTAACTTTTGCACCATCGCATTCCTTTTTGTAGTACCTATTAAGAACATTTGCCATCTACTCTCCAAGCTCATCATCGCCTGCACATAATCATTCGTTCATGTAGTTCATTCAGGTTTTTTCTAAGGAGTTTAGCTCTTCCTTTTCAGCTTTTCTGAGCTTCTTAGCAAAGGAGATAGTATATTTTTTTAACCCTCAACTTACATAGGTCCCATGCATACTGCAGATCAAGCTTTGATCTAAATTATTTTTTTTGGTCGACGAATAACGTCTTTTATACCATCTTTATAAACACCACTTTTCAGGAGCGAATTATTCATTTTCCAACACAAGGAACCACGGACAATCTTACATGATAAAGTTATTGGCATAGTAACAGCACAGTGGTCTGGACACATGGAGACTGGTTTAATTGACACGTTATTTATATAGTCAACATAGTCAACTTGCACAAGCCAGTAATCTATTCTCGATGACATATTCAAAAACTTACTTCTATATGTATATTGTTTCTTAGTTTTGTTTATCTTTCTCCATACATCGATCATCTTAAACTTTTTAACAAACTGCCTATAGTCTTATTTCCCATCACGTCAAGACGTGGATTGTTAACACAATTGAAACCCCCCCCCCCCCTGCGATTAAAACATGTGAGCCAGTAGGCCTACCATCATACTGAATCAAAATCTTTTCCAATTTTAAGAAAAAAGATTTTCAGAGTTACCTTTTTGTTATCTATTTCAGTATTTATTATCAATATCCTTCCATCATCCGATGAGTAAATCAAAGTAACTGGTATTTGAGCATTCTTTTTCACGAGAATTGAAACACCTCTGCTGTGATTACTTCCAAATGAATGAAAAGTAATACCATTCCATTCCCTTCTTACAGTATCATCTAGATCGTTAGTGAAACAAATTTCCTGTAAGAATATTACATCTGTACCTTGTTTCTCTAAAAATTTAAATACCAATTCCCTCTTTCCTTTATTCCTTATCCCTCGTACATTGAGCGACGAAAGTGAGATACCCTTTACATCATTCATTTTTTGTTCGATCCCTTCCTTCGCCTTTTTCTGTTTTTTTTCTTTTACTCCTCTCCCTACGACTACTCCTTGAATCACGTGACCCCCTTGAATCATGTCACTGTTCAGATTCTGATTCGTGAGATTCATGTGAGTCGCTGAATCAGCTGAATAATCTACTTGATCTGACGGCTTTTCTTCTCGCGACAGCATATCTCGGATGCTTTGCTTTTTCTCCGCTACGACTCCATTCTTTTCTTTCGGCCTCACCACTTGCACTCCTCTCTATAAATATTATAATATAAATATTACCATATTTTAAATTCCATATGCAAATTAAGAGTGCTACTGAAGTGATGGAATGACGTCTATTTCAATTGTGAATGTGGATGATACTAAATATTTTAATGTTAAAACCTACCAAAATCACAAATTGAATTTCTCCGTCCCCGTTTGACTTTTTGGTTTCCTCTCTTCAAATTGATTCGAATCACTCATGCGTGAAATATGCATCATGTGAGTATGTGAGTTATAATAAAACATCGATATTTCTCGGTTTCGTTTTTTCTAGGACGCACTGTATAGTCAAACGCAAATGTACATTTTGAGTCTCCCTATTGGTACACCGTTACGAGAAAGTAAGTAGGAAAAGTTGAACATTTCAGGAAGTGGATGCAAAGTGTGACACTCATTCATAATATAAAAACAGAGTGGAGATTATAAGATTGATAGTGAATAATATATACAATATATTATTTTTTTTCATATGCAAATTCAAAGTGCTCCAGAATTACTATTATGACAGATTAAGACTGGACATCCAGTATCTGGATCATCCCCACCTCCTCAGTCATTCCGACGTAAAAATGTAGTAGCGTTAGTAAGATTACCGAATCATATGCCCGAGGGAGAAAAGAAAATCCCCTCCTTTCTGACAGTCCCTTATCCAAAACTATCCAAAACTGAAATGTCGTCGATAACATAATCAGAGTGTCCAGGTTCTCGCTCGAATAAAGCTCAATTTCTTTTCAAGCGTAGTGTGATTAAGGAATGGTTAAAGACCGTTCTGCCTTCTTGTTTTATTCTCTTTTGTTCTGTAAAACTTGATATCATGAGCCACGTCTTTCATTCATATTTACCCACTATTCCCTCTGTCAACAGGTCAATATTATCTAGAACATATAATTTTCTTTATCCGTAATGCCCACAGTCCCGATTGGATCAATATAAAAAACTGTTGATCATCTCTGCCATTACCTATCATTTATTTAATTACCACCATAAAGCATTATATCTGTTTCAAAAGATTCCAGGAACTATTGAAAAGCGTGCTTATTTCAGGTGACAAAACTTGTAGCTCATTACAAGATACAATGTGATTGTGTCAAGCTGTTTTCATAGTGGTAACAACATTTATATGATTTTGAACAAATTGCTGAATGTTGAGTATAGTTTTGATGGGTGATGTTAAATATTCATTTAACATAATGTTGGTATCATAACAGATTGAGCTCCTTGAGACCCCTGATTGGGATCTCAGTGATCGTCCCAATGCATCACGTGATTTCGCTCAGTTCATATGTAACATGCCTCATCTGAAGAACCTGACACTTTACGGTCGGTATCACGATGACTTCTACTCACCATCGTCTTCGATGGCATCATCCGCAAAGGTATTGATTTTATCATATTTTTTAGGACTCTTAGCAAATCACTACATCTGTTGTATTACTGGAGGTGAACTCTTTCCTATATAGTCAAACTCGAGTGTACAATGTAAGTCGGCCTATTCGTACACCGTTAAGAGGAAGCAGGTAGGACAAGTCGAACGTTTCAGGGAGTGGATGCGAAAAGTGACCTTTCTGTCATAATACATGAACAGAGTACAGGTTATTGATTGTAAACAATATATACCTTTTTGTCTCGCCTGCGTAGCAAAAAGCGAGACATAGGCGCCGCTTTTCCGGTGGCAGCGACGGCGGCGTCAACATCAAAAACTTAATCTAAGGTTAAGTTTTTGAATTTTTAATATAATTTTGAAAGTATAAGTTCTCATTCAATGAAACTTTGACTAAAGGGTTATCAAGTATTCCCAATCATGTGAGTAGAATTTCAGGTCAATAAATTAAGGTCAAAGGTCATTTCAGGTCAACATACTTAGACTCTTTTGTGGCATCAACATCAAGATTTTGAAATTTAAGCATAATTTCGAAAGTGTTTGTTCAAATTCCATGAAACTTGTACACAAGGGTTATCAAGTATCACAAATCTTATGACGCAAATTCCACAAATTTTACAAAGTCAAGGTCAAAAGTCATTTTAGGTCAGTATTTGAGGATTTAAAAAAAGAATCATTTTTTTGGTTCTTTTTTCATGTTCCATTATAGTTATTAATCTTGGTACAAATTATGGTAAATAATTCTTCCAATTACTTTTGGTCAACATTCACTTCAAAATGCTGATTATATTTAGAGGATTTCATTTGGGGGGGGGGGGCCTGCTAATGGGCCACCTTGCCTATGAATAATGTCCCAACCTCAATTTTTCATCATATTGAATTGCGTAATGCAGGCGAGACCGCCGAGAGCGTTTCCCTTGTTTTCATTTCATATGAAAATTCGGAGTGCTACGGACGTGCTAATGGAGAGACAGCTATTTCAACTATCAATACTGATGAGACTAAATATTTGAATTTAAGAACCTACAAAAAGAATAATCGAATCTCTTCGTCCCCGTTTGTATTATTTCTATAACATGTCAGAAACTGCAAAATCTTCCATGTATACTTGTTTTTACACTTTTCTGTTATGTTATGTTAGTTTTTCAAGTATTATTTCAATCCAATGTCAGAATAACATATTGTTTTTATAAATGAATGTGGATGGCAACTGTATCATGATGTAAAGCGTAAACATATATTTCAGTAGCGTACTGTCAGCAATTGTGTATCCACTACAATGTTAGTATTATAACACATTAAAACTTGACATCCAGTATGTAGATAATCCCTACCCCTCCCCATTCACCCATTTCGACGTAAAAATATAGTAGGGTCAGAAAGATTACCGGATTATATGCCAGGGAAAAAAATCCCCCCTTTCTGACAATCACGGATCACCAATTATTATTTCGTCGAGAACATAATAAGGGTGTTTAGGTTATTCCCCAAATAAAGCTTTCTTCGTGAGTAAGTGTGATTAAGGAATGGATTATGACCGTTCTGCCTTCTTGTTTTTTCTCTTTTGTTCTGTAAGACTTTAGACCATGAGTCACGTCTTTTATTCATTTTTACCCCCCCCCCCCACTCCCTCTATCAACAGGTCAATATGATCTAGAAAATATCATTTTTTTTATCCATTGTGCCCACAGTCCCGATTGGATCATTATACAAAAACCTATTGATCACCTCTGTCATTACCTATCAGTTATTACTCAATACCATTAATGCATTATATGGGTCTCAAAAGAATCCAGGAACTATTGAAATGCGTGCTTATTTCAGGTGACAAAACTTGTAGCTCATTACAAGATACAATGTGATTGTGTCAAGATGTTTTAATAAAAGACATTTATATAATTTTGAACAAATTGCTGAATTTTGAGTATAGTTTTGATGGATTGCTGGTAATTATTCATTCAACATAATGTTGGTATCATAACAGATTGAGACCCTTGTTACCCCTGATTGGGATCTCAGTGAACGTTCCTCTGCATCACGTGATTTCGCTCAGTTCATATGTAACATGCCTCATCTGAAGAACCTGACACTTGACGGTCAGTATCACGATGACTTCTACTCAACATTGTCTTCGATGGCATCATCCCCAAAGGTATTGAATTAATCATATTTGTTAGGAATCTTAGCTAAATCACTACATCTTATGTATAACTGGAGATGAACTCTTTCCAATATAGTCAAACGCAAGTATACAATTTAAGTCTCCCTATTGGTACACCATTAAGAGGAAACAGGCAGGAAAAGTTAAACGTTTCAGGGAGTGGATGCGAAACGTGAACTTTCTGTCATAATACAGTGTACAAAAACAGAGTGAAGATTAAAAGAATGATAGTGGGTAATAATTATATACCATTTGTTAATTTCATATAAAAATTCGGCGTGCTACGGACGTGCTAATGGAGAGACAGCTATTTCAACTATGAATGCTGATGAGACTTAATATTTGAATTTAAAATCCTACAAAAATGAATAATCGAATCTCTTCGTCCCCGTTTGTATTATTTGTATAACATCTCAGAAACTGCAAAGTGTCCCATGTATATTTGTTTAATTGTTTTTACACTTTTCTGTTATGTTAGATTAGTTTTTCAAGTACTATTTCAATCCAATGTCAAAATAACATATTGCTTTTATAAATGAATGAGCGTATCAGGACAATTACCCCCTGGGCAATCACCCCCGGAGAATTCCCCCCCCCCCCCCGGAGAACTACCCCCGTAGGACGATTACCCCCGAGGACAACTACCCCCCGAGGACAACAACCCCCGAGGACAATTACCCCCCGAGGACAACTACCCCCCGAGGACAACTACCCCCGAGGACAATTACCCCCGAGGACAACTCCCCCCAAGGACAATTACCCCCCCATCGACACTACTGGGTATGGTTGACCAGTGGTTAGAGCGCCCGCCTCTTGAACAGGAAGTCGTGGGTTCGAACCCCGGCCGAGTCATACCAAAGACTTATAACAACAGGTCCTTCTGTCTTCTAGCTAGGCGCTCTGCATATTTGATTGGGGAAGGGTAGTAATAACATATTATGTTATGCTGGGCCCGCTGGAAGAGCAGTTTCATAACTGAAATGGCTACCCTGGGTAAATAAAACGTTATTAATATTATTATTATTACCCTCGAGGACAACTCTCCCCCAGGACAATAACCCGCGGAGGACAACTACCCCCAATTACAATCACCCCCGAGGAATTTATAACACTGTGACGTATAACGCAAGCTTCTCTCCAAATTGCTATTTACAGAAAATTGCATAAACCTTCATTTTCTTTGTTATTTCAGTCTTTTCAAAATATTCAATTCGATATGGGGGGTGGAGATTGCACAATTCCCCTGTTGTTTTGCTACCAAGTAAAGAACAGAAATTACATTTCTTAGAAATCGAACAATACATTGCGCGCAGATATGTACGCGTTACAGCCTCTCTCACCATCGATGGCACAACAAATAAATTAGGATGTAACATTTCCTTTATGCATCTTCTGTAACTTTCTTTTAATCAGCTGATCGTGTATTTGTCTTTGTATGCATAATGGGCCCTCATCCATGCCATGATCCATAATTAAGGTTTTCTTCACGTTATTTATTTATTTATGTTGTCATGCTGAACTTGCTGAAGTATAATATGTTTTCGGGTACGTTGAGTTATTTTGAAATAGAAATTGCCTCCAAGTTATATGTACGGTGCCATTTCAAAAGAAAATAAATATCCGCTCTCTGGTATTCATCTCATTCGATTTTGTAACTCCAGCACAGCGTTTTTCAACCGGGGTGCCGCAAGAGAACGATTTGGAAAACGTTGATTTTTTTTTTTTTTTTTAATAAAATACCAGAAACGGTTAAAACATGTAAATACATGAGAAAATAAATGTTGAAGATAATAAAGTGTCTTCCTTCCTCGCTCGCTGACAATATTTTGACAGAAAGGCAAATAAGGACAACGAAAGGCCCGAATATCCTCATATTCGTGTATCAAGGTCATGACCGAATATATCACTTTTTATTTATGTACATTCGGCGGCAAGGTGCCCGCATACAGTACTTTAAATAGTTTATAGTGGGTGGATTGCAAACTAATTTTTTACCAGTTTGAAAATGTCTTCTCCTTTTTATTCTTAAATGTGCCCATACGTGTGTACATAGCACTTGACGAGAGTCAGAGCAAAATTAATAGTTTGTAAAGACTTTGGGATTTGGGAGAAAATTTTAATTTCATAAGAGGGTACCGTGACTAACAAAAAGTTAAAATAACGCTGCTCCAGACAAATGTATTTCTATGCATTTTGAAAAGCGCTGGATAATTACCTAAAAGTTATATCCTTCGTAGAAATTAGCAACCAAACTGGTGTTGCATGAATTATAATAAAAGGGAATGTGTAGTAATGAGGAAGACAACGTGCTATAGTATTTGAAAAAATATGGGTTCATGCAGGGGATTTTATGGGCTCGTAGCCATCTCTTAATGTGTCAGATCGTCTTTTGCTATTGAAGCCTGATTGTCCACGGGGGTAGTTGTCCTCGGGGGGGGTAATTGTCATCGGGGGAAATTGTCCTCGGTGGGGTAATTATTTTTTTGAGATAGTAGTCCTCGGGGGGGGGTTATTGTCCTCGGAGGTAATTGTCATCGGGGGTAATTGTCCTCGGGGGTAGTTGTCCTCGAGGGGGTAGTTGTCCTCGGGGGGTAATTGTCCTCAGGGGGTAATTCCCCGGGGGTAATTTTCCGGGGGGGGGGGGTAATTGTCCTTTGTGGATAATTGTCCTCGGGGGGTAATTGTCCTAGGGGGTAATTGTCCTCGGGGGCTAATTGTCCTCGGGGGGTAATTGTCCTCTGGGGGTAGTTGTCCTCGGGGGTAGTTGTCCTCGGGGGTGGGGTAAATGTCCTCGGGAGGTAATTCTCCGGGGGGTAATTTTCCGGGGGTAATTGTCCTTTGGAGGTAGTTGTCCTCGGGGGGGGAGGGGTGATTCTCCGGGGGGCAATATTCCAGGGGGTAATTATCCTTGGGGGTAGTTTTCCGGGGGGTAATTTTCCGGGAAGTGATTGCCCAGGGGGTGATTGTCCTAGAACCGCTTACATTACGCTACTTAAATATGTGTTTACGCTTTACATCATGGTACAGTTGCCATTCTCATTCATGTAGTGTAATGTCAGCAATTGTGTATCCAAGACAATGTTACTATTATAACATATTAAAACTTGACATACAGTATGTGGATCATCCCTCCCCCTCCCCCTTCACCCATTTCGACGTGAACATATAATAGGGTTAGTAAGATTACCGGATCATATGCCAGGGGGGGGGGGGAATCTCCTCCTTTCTGACAATCATGGATCACCAACTATTATTTCGTCAAAAACAAAATTAGAGTGTTTAGGTTATTCCCCCCAAAAAAGCTTTGTTAATGAGTAGTGTGATTTAGGAATGGATTGTGACCGTTCTGCCTTCTTTTTTTTTCTCTTTTGTTCTGTAAGACTTAAGATCACGAGCCACGTCTTTCATTCATATTTACCCACAACTCCCTCTGTCAACAGGTCGGTATGATCTAGAAAATATAATTTTCTTTATCCATTATGCCCATAGTCCCGATTGGATCAATATAAATAAACCTATTGATCACCTCTGTCATTACCTATCAGTTATTACTCAATACCATTAATGCATTATATGGGTCTCAAAAGATTCCAGGAACTATTGAGATGTGTGCTTATTTCAGGTGACAAAATTTATAGCTCATTACCAGATACAATGTGATTGTGTCAAGATGTCTTAATAGTGGCAACGACATTTATATGATTTTGAACAAATTGCTAAATTTTGAGTATAGTTTTGATGGATTGCTGGTAATTATTCATTCAAAATAATGTTGGTATCATAACAGATTGAGACTCTTGAGACCCCTGGTTGGGATCTCAGTGAACGTCCCTCTGCATCACGTTATTTTGGTCAGTTCATACGTAGCATGTCTCATCTGAAGAACCTGAAACTTTACGGCCGGTATCACGATGACTTCTACTCAACATCGTCTTCGATGGCATCATCCGCAAAGGTATGGATTTAATCATATTTATTAGGACTCTTAGCAAATCACTACATCTTATGTATTACTGGAGGTAAACTCGTTCCTATATAGTCAAACGCAAGTGTACAATTTAAGTCTCCCTATTGGTACACCATTAAGAGGAAACAGGCAGGAAAGATGAACGTTTCAGGGAGTGATGCGAAACGTGAACTTTCTGTCATAATACAGTGTACAAAAACAGAGTGAAGATTAAAAGATTGATAGTGGGTACTAATTTTATACCATTTTTTCATTTCATTTTTTCATTTCATATGAAAATTTGGAGTGCTACGGACGTGCTAATGGAGAGACAGCTATTTTAACTATGAATGCTGATGAGACTTAATATTTGAATTTAAAAACCTACAAAAATGAATAATCGAATCTCTTCGTCCCCGTTTGTATTATTTCTATAACATGTCAGAAACTGCAAAATCTTCCATGTATATTTGTTTTTACACTTTTCTGTTATGTTATGTTAGTTTTTCAAGTATTATTTCAATCCAATGTCAGAATAACATATTGTTTTTATAAATGAATGTAGATGGCAACTGTATCATGATGTAAAGCGTAAACATATATTTAAGTAGCGTACTGTCAGCAATTGTGTATCCACTACAATGTTAGTATTATAACACATTAAAACATGACATCCAGTATGTAGATAATCCCTCCCCCTCACCCTTCACCCATTTCGACGTGAACATGTAGAAGGGTCAGTAAGATTACTGGATGATATGCCAGGGGAAAAAATCCCCTCCTTACAGACAATCATGGATCACCAACTATTATTTCGTAGATAACATAATCAGGGTGTCCAGGTTCTCCCTCGAATAAAGCTCAAGTTTTGAAGTGTGATTAAGGAATGGTTTGTGAACGTTCTGCCTTCCTATTTTTCTCTTTTGTTCCTTAAGACTTAAGATCACGAGCCACGTCTTTCATTCATATTTATCCAAAACTTCCTCTGTCAACAAGTCAATATTATCTAGAAAATATAATTTTCTTATCCGTAATGCCCACAATCCCGATTGGATCGATAAAGAAACTATTGATCACCTCTGCCATTATCTATCATTTATTTAATTAATTAACACCATCATGCATATTGGTCTCAAAAGAATCCAGGAACTATTTAAATGCGTGTTTATTTCAGGTGTCAAGACTTGTAGCTTATTACCAAATACAATGTGATTGTGTTAGAATTTTTTTACTTGTGGCAACGACATTTATATGCTTAATTTTAAACATGAATTTTGATGGATTGTTGGTAATCATTCATTCAACATAATCTTGGTATCATAACAGATTGAGACTCTTGAGACCGCGGTTTGGGATCTCAGTGAACGTCCCTCTGCATCACGTGATTTCGCTCAGTTCATATTTAACATGCCTCATCTGAGGAACCTGTTACTCCGCGGGCAGTATCACGATGACTTCTACTCAACATCGTCATCGATGGCATCATCCGCAAAGGTATTGATTTGATCATATAATTCAGGACTCTTAGCAAATCACTACATATTTTGTTATACTGGAGATGTACTCTTTCCTTTATAATCATACGCAAGTGTACATTTTAAGTCTCCCCATTGGTACAACCATTAGAGGAAGCAGGTAGGAAAAGTAGAACATTTCACAAAGTGGATGCGAAAAGTGAACTTTCTGTCATAATACAAAAACAGAGTGAAGATTATAAGATTGATAGTGAATAATATATATACCATATTTTTCATTTCATATTTAAATTCAGAGTGCTACTGAATTGCTATTAAATGGACAGAAAGCTATTTAAATTGTAAATACTGATCAGACAAAATAGATTAATTAAATACCAACAGAAATGTAAGATCAAATCTTTTAAACCCTGTTTGTGTTATTTTTGTTTCCCTGTGTAAACTGCAAAGTGTTTACATTTGTTTCCAAACTTTTATGTAATGTAAAATTAGATTTTCAAAGTACTATTTCAATCAAATTTAAGAATAACATATTGATTTTGTAAATAAATAGGTAACATGATGTAATGTTAAAACATATTTTAAAGTAGTGTAATGTCAGCAATTGTATATCCAACATACTGTTACTATTGTTACAGATCAAGACTTGATATCATTTCGATGCGCAAATGCAGTAGAGTAAGTTAAATTACCGAATCATATACGGCTAGGGGGAAAATCCCCTCCTTTCTGTCAATTATGGTCCTATCATTGTATCATATTGTCAATAAAACAATCGGGGTGTTCAGATTCCCGCCGATTAAACGCACACGTTTCCTTCAAGAGTAGTCTGTTTGAGGACTAGTTTGCGACCAACCTACTCCCTCCGTAAATAGGTCAATGTGATCTAGAAAATATCATCTTTTCTATCCGTATTGCCACAGTCGGAAATTATTCATTTGACATAATGTTGGTATTATGATAGATTGAGACTCTTGACATCCCAATTCTGGATCTCAGTGAACGTCCCTCTACATCACGTGATCTCGCTCACTTCATCTGTAAGATGCCTCATTTGAAAAGCCTAAAACTCGGTTCTCGCGTCCTCCTTCACGATGACTTCTACTCAACATCTTCGTCGACGGCATCGTCTGCAAAGGTATTGATTTGATCATAAATTGTAGCACTCGTAACAAATTACTACATGTTTTGTTATACTGGAGATGTCCTCTTTCCCATATTGTCGAACGCAAGTGCACAATTTCACTCTCCCTATTGGTACACCTTTAAGAGGAAGCAGGTAGGAAAGTTGAATGTTTCAGGAAGTGGATGCGAAAAGTGAACTTTCTGTCATGATATTAAGATTGATAGTATAGTATTAATGACTGCTTTGAGAGAAATAGTTGTTTTTATTCGCTCAAGGGAAGGTTACAATGGTGCTATTGCCCGATGCGTGCCGAAGGCAATAGCACAATTCTAACCTTCCCGAGAGCGTATAAAAACAAATATTTCTTGAATATTAAAGCAGTCATTAATACTTTTATATGCCGAAAAAAAGAGTCAACTTATGACACCACCTTGGCCTTTCTCTAGTTTATCTGCACGGTTGTTTTTTTATGAGTGTATCTTTGAGAGTAGACTAGATCTAGATTCTAGACTAAGCAAGATATTTTTACGATTTTGGGGGTGGGCCGGCCCTGTGGGGAATATGGACAAAAACATGCGCTTTCATATGACACCTCACTTTAATATTGAGTATCACCTTCAGGATCACGAGCAAAATTAGTTTGAATCTCTGGTAATTAAAACATCGACCAATGCATAGGGATGTGTGCAATCTCTACGGGAAGAATTTTAGCACTAGACCTACTGCTAGAATCTAGGCCTACTAGATCTATATAGGAAACAAATTATGGAGAATTTTACGAACCCTTTTTGGTGTTCTTGCTGTCAGCTAGTCTTGCATTTGATCATCATCAAGAAGTTGAAATCTTGGGTGAGTTTTTTCAGCCATTACGATCGAGATTGCCGTATTAAAAATACCGACCAATTCTTCGCACACGTACGGTATCCTCGATCGCTCAAACCTTTTTTTTTACATGTGAACGTATGGGTATTTCACCAAGACTGAACTATTTTCCCGGTAACCATGGTAACTAGAATTTTACTGGGAATTTTACAGGAATAGTTAAACTTTATGATTGCAATTTCGACCAATCAGATGGCTGGATTTCTTAAGTGAGGTATATAATGAATAATATAAACCATATCTTTCATTACATATGACAATTCGGAGTGCTACGGAATTGCTGATAGAAAGACGGCTATTTCAACTGCGAATACTGACGAGACTAATTTTCTTAATTTAAAAGCCTACAAAAATGTAAAATGAATCTCTTATTTCCCGTTATTTCTGTAACATTAGGGTGATCACACTGCCTGTGCAAACAGTTTGCCCCGCGAACACACACACACATACACACACACACACAACAGCAGTCAGTTGGTAGAAATATCAATTTTTGTAAATGTATTTAAAACAAAACTAAACGATATTTTAAAAATTTTATTTCACATATATTTCAAGCATACCTTTAAGTACAATTGTGTGTAGTTTCATTGTTATAGGCATGTGGGAAATATGTAAATTATTTAATTAGAATATTGTCTTTTCAGCCATGTGTGACATGGCCCGCTGATCGCCCATTGACTCGCGCTGCTATTGTGCGTGGTGAAAATGCACCTAAATGTATAAAACTTCCCTACAAAAATGCAATATTCTCATGTGTTTCACTCATTGAATAAATTTGTTATTTACACTCAAGGTAGCCACGACTGTATTGAGGTCACCGAAATTGTCGTTACTCTAAAATTTTGTCCCTGTGGAATGTTATAGCCTGTTGAATGGTTTCTCGCAAAATCGTCATAAATCCTCAAATCTGACATCTTTTAAATAGGCAAATATACTGAAATATAGCTGAAAATTTACAAATTCTTATCGTATCATCGGTTTTTGTGAATAATTCATGAAACACATGAGGAAATAGCTGTAACGGTGATCCAAGTAATTTCCACCGCCATATTTTATTGGCACTGCAACAATATTTGGAATTTAAGGTTAATATTTGGTGCAAATATGATCTATGAATATATGATTTAAAATGTGCCCAAAAATTGACAGTTTGAATTTCCTAATTTGCATAATGAGTGCACGAATATATAATTAGCTGAAATGACCTAATTTGCATATTTGATGAATATTCATGATTTTTTTAAAATTTCAATTGAAATATATTTCCATACCTGTCTGATATACATAGGTTTCACTGAGGTATCATGCTCAGTTTTGATTTGATTACATATGCGCATATTAATTAGGCGGACTTAGTTATTTTCACAACTTTTTTATATCTGTAGATTCGCAAAAATGACTTATTTTGTTGGCTTCTGTTTTCAAAACGGTAATAAATATATGAATTTTCTTTTTTGTATTTTTTACCACAAAGATGATATTTTAGTGTCTGATAATTTAATTTATTATTTGTGTCCGAGAAA